ATTGTCACTTTTTGTTGCTAATTGGTTTGCCCTTAAAAATATTAGTTGCTCTAAAATTATTACCGGAAATGCGAAATTTCTCCAAATTGATATTAAGAAGACGGAAAATCACAAACAAACCACGATATTACACAAATACAAAATAACTTAATAAAAGAGAAATGTTGTTGCTCATCAACTAATACATGAAATGCGATTTTCCGTTAACTAGTTATCAAGTTAGCCCGTCAATTACAAGAAAACCAAGATATTACAGAGATAAATAAAAAATCAATTACTTGAGAAGTTTTTGCTTCTTTGTTGTTAAAAGTTAGCATAAAACAAATTTTTGTTGCTCTTCAACCGGAAATTCGATTGATGTCAAGTTGCGAGAAGGCCGGCTAACGGTTCCGTCTCGTCTCCCCTCCCCCCCTCGACTGGCGTTTTGATAGAATTAGAGACTACACCGTGTATCAAAAAGGAAAGTATATTAATTTTATCAATGATATTGAATGTATAAATGACTATTTTGACTGTTTAGTTCTAAACAACCTGTAATAAGTATTATCCCTCAACTTCAGGGTCAATGATCCCGATCTCGGTCAGGTTTTTGATAGTTTCCTTGACGCTTTGAGCGAATGCTCAGTTGGCTCCTTCTTTTGCTTCTGGACACAACGTAAATGTCACTCTACAAATGTCACTGGACACAATGTAATGTCTACTATCTGTGCACGTCTTCCAGAGTTCTGTAGGAAATACAATCCAAATTATCGTTTTGCATGTTCTCACGCATGAAGTCGATTCCTTCACGAAGGTCACGATAAGGGATTATACACTAAATCTATAGCTGATTTGCCTTTGCAACTAGTTTTTATTACATTGGAGTAAATTTTTCTAATCAATTCTTACCAAAAATGCTCATTTTCATTTATATTCTCAATTAAACTTGTATATGGATTGGGATAGGAACCCCAGAATGAAGAAAACGTGCAAAAGGTACACTTCTCCCACGAACGTCACACAGTTTTTGACTGTTTTTGATGTTAAATATATAAAAGCCCATCGCTTGCGAAGGCACGCAGGGGTAGTCACAGTGGAGCCCGGTGCACGTGTGCATTGGGTACTACATTTAATAGTTTATTTAATAATAATGCGATTTAAATAGTTTTATATTTCGTATTTGTATTGTAGTATAACTTCACTCCTATTTCAGTTCTTGAGCTGCCAATGTTTGAAAAAATCCGTCACTCAGTTATACTTATAGGACCATGCCAGACAGCAACTGGTAAATGTGAGATTTTTTATTACATGCAAGAAATTATTGTCGTAGACTCTAAGCAACGTCATTTCAAAAAAGGAAAAAACCCTTTCATCGAACTATATTTGTTTTAATGTTCAGCACCCAACAGATAGAGGCGCATTTAAACCACAAAAGTCCATTCCTATTCAGTATTCTATCCTACTGGCAGGTCTTCGCCGAATATATGCTATCCCTATCTTCCTACTATATCGTTGTTCTAGGTTCGACTAGTTGCCTACCTACTTGTTGCATAATGGGAATACAAAAAGAAATGAGTAGCGCAACCCGAACGGCTAACGTCTTTGAATATTTCCTCGCCAGATAGCATTCCCAGGCAACATTATTGATTACAGGATAAATGATAATTGGCGGCATTACATAAAGTTTCGGTTCGGATACGTTAATTTTGTTTTTAAGTGGATTGACATTCTCAACACGAACTGTTTGAACCTACCATCAAAACGAACAAAATAGTGGTACGTTCTGAATACTATAAAAAAATACAATAGTTTGCAGCATAATCTGCCACCACATTTGAAAATAAATTCCATTTATCGTGATCACGTGACTTGTACGACAGTAAAACACGAATTACTGCTTCACGCTGTGCAAAAACTCTATAACGTGACCAGTGCTACTTAGATTTTGATTTATATAGTCAAAAACGGTAAAAACTGTATGTGACGTACACGACGACCGTATGTGATCATCTGCGCACGTTTTCTTGAGTTCCAGAATCCTTTCCCATCATTTTAACTATAAATAGTTGAAGAGAGAGTAAAAGTTTAAGATAAATAAATAAAAGTAAAATTTAAATAAAGCGCAAGATGAGCAACATTTGAAAAACTAATCATTTTCGTTCCCGAATTATAGAAAACGTATTTGCAACGGTAAACAAACTGCAAGTTTGATGTTTCTGCATTAGTAACAAAACAGTAACTCACTCTTACCTCTACTCCTACCACTACAACAAATGGAGAGTTCAACAAAACGTGCGCATAGTGAAGCTACATTTACGTCCAAAAGCAAAACAAGGCGCCATCTCAGCATTTGCTCAATGTATCAGAGAAACTGGACAAAAAAGTGATCGAGATGGGGGTTCATTGACCCGGAAGCTGAGTCGCATTACCTGTTACAAGCATATTACGTCATTGAAAAAATGTAAATATATACAATACAAATGTAAACTAAATCTTTATATATCACTGTTTTGTTAAAATAGACATTATTTTTCTTTTGATGATCAGTATAGTCTCTAATTGTATAGAAACAGTCATGCAACAGAAACGATTTTACTTTTAACTTAAATTTGAGAACCGACTTCAATTATTTAATGTCATCTGGCAATGCGTTATAAAGTAACGTACATGTACTGTATGTGGATTTCTGTCAGTAAGCTGTTGATACAGACACTTGATGTACGTGGTTTCTACGACGTGTACTATGATTATAAATATCAGTATTGCATAAAAATATGTTCCCACCGTAAAGTCAGTTTTGACAAATATTACAGATTCATAAATATATATGCAAAGTAATGGTCAGATCCCAAGCTCAATCAAGAGGCTTGCAGGAATCCGGCAGATGGCATTTTTTCGTTATTCGAATAATTTTCTTTTACAATTTAAAGGTCTGGATACTACGTGATGAACTTCCCAGGAATATTATGCCATTTCTCAGGCGAGAATGCACATTTGCAAAATACACACGAGCCACATGAAGGCTGACAGAATTTGAAAGAATTCTGAATGCGTAACATAATGAACTTAATATTGTGTTTAATTCTGTTACATGTACATTCCATATGAGGTTTAACTGAATTGAGAAACCTAGAAATTTTATCTTAAGATCAGCTAATTGCATATTGTTCATTTTCAATGGAGCATGCGATTGCTGATTTGAAATGCATCAACAATTTTTTCCTTCGTTGACTGTTAATTTTTTATTACAAAACCAATTTGAAACTTATGAAATCGTATCATTTCTTTTTTCAACGAACATTAGTGTCATCGACAAACAAAACTGTTCTTACGTTTTTAATAGTCGAGGGCATATCATTTACATATAGCAGGAAGAAAATATGACCTAAGGTCGATCCTTGCGGGCCTTCAATTGATAAAGAATTGGAAAGATAAGTAAATAATGTTCTTTTGTGCCAGTACGGTATTTCTACTCTTTGAGATCGATGTTTAAGGTACGAGGTTATCCAATCTAGGGCAATACCACGAATTCGATAAGGAGGTAATTTTGATAGCAAGATGTTACGGTCAATAACTATAAAAGCTTTTGAAAGATCTAAGAATATTCCAATGGGTGCTTCTTTTTGGTCCATTGATGAAGCAACATCTTTAAGAAAAGAAAAAAATGACAGTTTCCGTAGATTTTGATTTTCTAAAACCGTGTTGTGTCCGAAAACGCTTCGTTTTCCCTGAGAAACGTTTCCCTTCGCGTATAGAGAAGCCTGTCCAATATTTTTGAGAAAACTGAAAAAAAAAGATATTGAGGTGATATTGAATTTCATTTTTGTTTCCTTTTTGAAAAATTGGCTTGATGTTTGCTGTTTTGAAAATATTTCTGTGCATAAAGAAGCAATGAAAATGTGTGCCAAGGAGTGTATAAAGGCAGGTACAATAGTTCTCAATAAACAATCTGGCAATTCATCTAAACAAGATGAATATTATTTTTAAGTTTACTATTCTCAGGATTTCGTTAGAAGTGGTTTCGGAAATAAACATCGGACCGAAAATTTTTTGGGAAGAGAACGATGTTGAATTTTGGGGTTTTAGTCTCTTTGTGAACTCAGCAATACTAGAAGTGTTGGTTGAGATTTGCCACTTTTTTCGGATTACTTGCTTCTCTTTCATTATCCTTTGAAACAACATTCTCTACTAAGTACCGATGTTGTGGTCGTAATTTTACGACATTCCACATTGCTTTAGTTTCATTACTAGCGTTCAAACTATCCTGATTATTTTTACCTGAACTATTACTTTCCTTAAAATTTTCGTTTCTTCGTCTACCTTCACGCAATGCGTCTCTAAACCCCTACCAGGGCATTAAGCGCTTGCATTTGGAGATATCCTCCGTTAATATGTATTTTAATGTGTCTAGTCCAGTGTCGTCGCAGTCAGTTGTCATGAGGACCGCTAGGTAGCATCTCTGCGTACGCGACTCCTGCGTCACTACCCAGCGGCGGAATAGGATAAGGGCAGATAAGGGCGTCTTCCCACGCCGCCACGGCAGCGTGCGTACGTCAATCGGCAGGGCTCTTCGCCGACCCTCGGGCGACGTCGAACAAAGGGACCGCAGCAGGTAAAATGCAGCGACCGGCGGCCGCAGTGGGAAGGCTACCATTTAAAACTGTCTTCGGCTAGCGGTGGCGCGTACCCCCTCCTCCGCATCGCGTAGCGAGAGTCTTGACGGAAGCGCGCTGCCGTCGCTTCGTGGGACGGCGCTCTAAGGGTAGGGTTTAGGACGCATCATACGAGTGGGACTAGCCCCTGGGAAGCATGCAAACTCGTTTTGTTGCAACAAATTTCACATAATCCGTCAGAAATCGCTCCGCACCATGAGAGCACTGTTCACAAGGAGGGATAGAAGATTGAAACGAAATGTTATGAAGTAGTAGTACAAAGTCAGAGTAATGGGAAGAAAAAAGGAATTTGTGATTGATTGTTGAAGGATCTCATTTTGAAACAGGAAAATAATTCTGGTAATTATCATTGCAGAAACATTTCTTTAGCATAGAGAAAGCAAATGTTAATTTGTTTTCATCAAACTTTCCATTGCATAAAAAGTTCACATTTGTACACACCAGCATTTTCAAACACGTTTACTATAGTGGGCCTCCAATTACGCAGAAGAATATTGTACAATAATGAAATTTTTATTCCAATTTCATTTCAATCCAATTAATGTTCAATTTATAAAAATTCAATTTACTTCCAACTTTATTTTTTTAAGTGCTTTTATTGAAAAACAGACAAACCACATATGTACACAATGAACAAACCATGAATATAATACAATAATATTTTATTTAAATTTTGTATGAAACCATGACATGCTCACTTATAAAAAATGCTTTTATTGACAAAGCCTAAAACAATACATTATCATTTATTTATAATACTTAATTAACAAACAAGACGATAGGAGATGTATCGACCAGCAGTTTCTGAAGGCCTAATGATCTTGACCACCTGCAAATTTAGAATACATTTAATTACTACACAAACATTAAATGCTTTTTCCATAACATCACATTTTAAATGATACATTAGAAATGTTCAAATCTATCTCACTCTGTTAAGTTTCACATAACATTATCATTATTAAAATAAAGTTATACACACGAAAATCATACATATCACATTCATTATGAATAAAGAAGGTATGAAGGGAATGCAGTAGACTGCAGAAATTCATTGGTCAATTTATTCAATATTAAGGCAATGCGCCTTTCTGCAGTCACAGTACAGTGGATGCAAAGCTTTGAAAAATGACAGCACAAAAGTGGCGAACACAAAGCAATATAGACATCTACATACAACCGCAACAAACACACAACTGCATGAGAAAGGGCACTGGAACTCAATTACAAAAAGTGCAAGCGAGGATAAATGAAATCTAAGAACAGTAGAACTTGCTGGTATGTTTTGAGTGATTTTCAAGATGCATTACAAACTTATTTCATAAAGCGAAGTACAAACTGATGCCACAATCTTTAAGCTGAACTTTTATCTTCCACTTAAAGCATCTCAACCCTAATCTACTCTAAATGAGTAGCAAGATTTCACTAAAACCTGGAATACCCTGGATCATCCTACTGTAGCACTTAACCTGGACATGCCCATCAAATAAAACTAAATTTTAGGTGAAGATGACTTTCATGTAACTATGATATCAAGGAGGTGATATACGTGCAATCAGACCTTTTTTTGATATCATAGATAAATTAGTAATACATTTGAAAAGGTGTTACAATATGAAGTATATTAGCAGAAATGTACAGTAAACCGTTCTAGAGAAATGATACATAAGGCTCGTACAAAAGGAAATCTAGAAACTTTATGAAGTATAAGTTGCCCCTATAACATTTACAATATGATTACAGGCACCTCTTTATAATTCAAATTATTGGGTAATTCAAACCAAAATGTATTTCCCTTGAAATCCCCATTCAAAACAATGGTAACATTTTGAATATTTGAATCTAAGTGGATAATTCAATTCCAGGATTTAATTTTAAATAATATTTTGTGACTCTGCAAGAAGTGGCACCTTTTAAAAGTAAAAGTAAAATATGTGGATGTCGGCAGTGAAGTTAATGTTTAAAATTAGGGAAAACAACAGAACATCTTGAGGAGTAGTAATTATTATTATTATTATTATTATTATTATTATTATAACAAAGATATTTATGATGATTAAGTTTGATAAAAGAACAAGAAATTTTTAAAATGGTTTAAGGATATTTATTGAAATTTCAAGTAAATCATCAAGATATGACACATTTGGAATGAACTTTTTACATTCCTTATCTTTAGATCCGAATATAACATTTCTTCAAAATTAGTATTTCATTCATTCGCATCTTACAAATATTTAAGAAGAAAAAGGAAAAAAAGGGAAGAAAAACTTTATAGTCCGCTATAATGGGGTGATGTTCATGGTTGCTTTCAAGAATTCACAGCAGAGTACAAATCTACAGTGCTCTGGGTTCGTTGGTGATACCAACTGGGTTATTACAACTAAATATTTTGTGAACTGCCATTTTTTTGAAGTTTCACGCTGCCACATATGTCAACTTCATATCTTGCTAAACCTTTTCCACTCAGCAAAAAAACCTGTTACATTGTATGTTTGTGCTTTGAGAAAATATGTTTTCTGAGGTGCCTAAAATGCACCACAAGTCAAACAACAATATTTCCTGCATAACAACTTCTTTTCCACAATAATGATTCAGTTGCAAAGTAACCAATAATTGTCATTGTCTTATTCTAAAATTACCAATCTTTGAGCAAACAAAGGTGAATGGCTATATTATTACTTTCGTTTCCATTCATTTCAAGTTAGTAACATTCCTTAATACCAAAAATTATTTTGTTTAAATTTAGGAAGCTTGTCATTATGATAATTTTTGTGTTGAAACCTGTTATGTGCGTGAGAATGCATGGCTTCATGTACATGTAGAATGCACATGTACTTATGAGTGACAACAGAGTAAAATGGAAGGAAAAAAGAAAAAAAAGTGCATGTATGTAATTGCATGCAGATCTGTAAATAAATGACCAATTCTTCAACTGAATCAGTAGAAAATGTTGTGTCAGAAAAAGAAAAGAAAGACTGTGTCAGAAAAAGAAAAGAAAGACTGAAAGAACAGAAGAGAAGGGAAGAAAAAAAGAAAGAAAAAATAGAAGTAACTTTCTATTACTTTCATTGATAACTTAAAAAGTCAAAACATTATAAAAATCCTTTATACGACAATTCTTTTATTATATGCTGTGTTAGATCACTCCATGCGCAACTATAAATTCAGTTTGATGCTCTACCTGCCCCCGACGTAGTCCAAAGTAACGAGAAATAGGATCACCAGTCTGAATTCGAGGGAGCTGATTCTCCTTTAGGTTGCTTGCCAGTCAAGAAAAATAAAATAAAAGAAGAAGAAACACTACAAAAGTAATATATTAATATAATTAATAGGAAAGTAAAAGATTCAGATAAAGAAACACTGTTTCCAACACCTCACTACCCCTCTAACCACACAAAAAGAAATTATTTTTCAGCATGAAAGCTTAGAGTTCATCAAAAGTAAAATGTTTGGGTAGCATCAAATTTTAGCTGATATTGTAACTGGAACTCATATCTCAACTCAATATATTCTCTACTACCCAGACAGTATTACCATAAACAAGTTAGGTTTGTAAATAAACACAGTAAAAATAACGAAACTGGATGAACTGGATATTTCGCATGACAAATTAATAAGATAAATTAATATTAAAGGAATGTGAAGTGAAATATATTAGATTTTTAAATTTAAGAGTGGTGAGTTTATCTCACGGAAAATTGATAGCATTTATAATTATTCACCAATTAATGAAATATTTTAAAAGTAAAGCTGAAAAAAAATGTCACATTAACATATAAATACATACTTTCCATAGTTCATTGCAAATCAACAAAGGTCAATTTCTTCAAATTGGCTCTCAACAAGACATTATTCTATGAAATGCAACATTTCAACCAATTTATACCGTCATATGAAACCTATGAAATTTCTGAAGTTGAAACCATGACATTCTTTTACAAAAACAAATCGCACACCTCAATACAATTAAAATTTTCCGAATATTATTTCAATTGCACATCAACATCTTGATTTCAAAATCAATAAAATGTAAGCTCTCACTTCTCTATTATTGCGGCACAGTTTTTAATTCTAGTTCCTTTAAACAACAATCTATATTGTAAATATAGTAAAATGAAAAACAGATTTTTTGACAGCTTAAAGAAATGACTTTCTATTGCCATGTAATTGTTGCACTTCGAACTGTAACTGGGTGGTGATATATACAAAAAAATTAATTGCAAAACCTATGTGCTCTGATAGCTCCGTAAAGAACTATATTGCCAATCCATTTTCAAACTTGAAGAAATGAATAATGAATTATTTAAATAGACACTGGTCTTCTTAATTGTTCCAACCAAGTTAAAATTCAATATGTTAAAATAATACTATCATAACAATAAAATGCTAACCAAATTCATAAACAAACAAATTAACATTCTAGTACTAATTATTAAATTAATGGAGCTCTTGTGAACTTCACTTTCCAGAAACATTTCCCATCATTGAACTGAGTATTGTATACTGCTCTGCATATTCAAGACTGTGCCAAATGAAACTGAATTGCAAAGAACTAGAAAAGAATTCCATTCAAAGTTCTACTCTCATAATGCATGTTGGGCCTAAAAAATAAAGCACAACAAAAATCATGTACAGTTATTTTCATTCATCATATAATCAAGCAATTGAATACATACCTGTCCTCTTTTAAGACCAAAGTATCTCGCCACAGGATCACCCTGTTGGATTCTCATAAGCTGATTTTCTTTTAGTTTGCTGGGTTAGTTTTAAGGAATTTTAATCGCACACACGAGTGCACATGCTGGATATTAACAGTGGTTATAACAAAATGCATCATACAAGTTATTAGATTATCGAGGGTCACAACAAGGATACAAAGTCTTGAAGTAAAGGCAGCAAGTTACAGTTTAGTTGAACATCCACAGGAAGTTAACTAACAGATGGAAAAATAACCACTCAAAATGAAAGAACAATGAAAAAATTAATAATTTCAAACACTGAATGCTAAAAGGTTCTAAAATCCATCTTCTAATCCTTCCTTTAAGATATGTCTGTGGCTGTGATCAAGCTTCCCAAACAAATTTTATTGGAAACAAAACCTTATTGACTTCAAAACCATACATTGTTATTTGATGTCATTCCAATACAAACACTGATTTTTTTTTGTTTCAAAATAAATTTAAAGCTATTATTCATGCAAGAATACTGTAATTTTAAAATAATAAAAACACAAAACAAGATTGTATTAATTAAGTACTAAAAATAAAACATGCTAAATACTGAAATCATTTTAAATCAAAATATTCATTGCATTACAGTTATTATATTAGTTTGCACACATTAATTTATCATTAAATTGAGACACTAATTGCCTAAAGCAAGTTTTCAAGTGCTTCTATAGCACCAGAAAAAAATTTCAATGTGATTCAAGGGCAGATCATCAAAGTATTATGGGAGTAGGAGGAGAATGGGGGGGGGGGGCAGTATCAGTTTAGATCTATTATTATTATTATTATTATTATTATTATTATTATTATTATTATTATTATTATTATTATTATTATTACTACTACTACTACTATTTGCTTGAAATTGAGGGGAAAAAAAAAAAAATGCTACAACACGTACTTCCAAGCACAAATTGCACAATCCAAAAGTGATTTCCATAATCTAGAAACATTACCCAAAGAGATATTCTGAAAATTCTAAAGTGCCGCGATGCGGCGATTTAAAATGGGGAAACGCCGTGGCCTTTTCGAAGATTTAGATAGGTTAACGAAAATGCGACTTGAACTATTTCTTTAGGCTACCTTTCCTCTATCCGCGGCAAAAATGCCATTTTCGAAATATTTTGAAAATATTGTGAAGTCTTCATGTATCCCCCAAAATCAAATATCGCTTTCAAATTAAAGGGGCCGCGACATCAGCCAGATCGATCTCGGAATATCAATTTTGGTGAAAATACCCCTTAGTGCTGTCCACAGTCAAAAGGACGGACGGGCACATTTTGACGCCAACCAATTTTCGAGATCAAGGACTCACAAAACGTGGATTCTGTCTACACAACGTATTACAAGAACAAGATCCAATTTTTCTGTATCGTGACTACAAAAAGGTTTTCTAACGAAAATTCGCAGGTTTCAACGCAGCAACTTGCTTGGTGCATATGCAAGAAAGTAATATGGGAAAATTCATAACCAGAACACGGCCTCGAATGTGATGAGATTGTTAAACGATAACTGTTTTGAATAAATTGAATGAAATGTTGGCTTTGGGGAGGTCATGTCCACTGCGGCTCCCTCTTTGGATCCACCTCTGATGATTGGAAAAACTGCTAACGAGAAACGTTCTTTTAGAATAAAATACTTGGCAAAATTAACTCATTTTTTATTGTACTTGTCTACTTTACGATTTTGAAACTTTAGGTTTTGCTAAGAATTTTACTTCTTTGGAAGAGCCCCGTACAACTTCCCGGAGTTCGCACCGCTAACATGAAGGTGAAACCCATGGCGAGGGGAAAGGAAGAAGGACGGAAGGGGAAGCTTTCGGTGGTCAGAGGTAGTAACGAAGTGTAATCTCTGCCATGTGTCGATGTTCCCTGTATATTGAAAATTTTAATGGTATATATTACGTAGTAAACTGCGGACGGAATAATAGGTTGGATAAAAGTGAATTTAGCGGAAGAGGCTACACGAGGGCTTTCCTGCAGCAAATGACATATCCGTGTTCACCATTATGGAATTGACGAGGTGAGTTTTCCAAAAGTATTTTTGCATGAAATACGTTGGTAATTAGCCGTTGCTGTGAAGGCCGAAGACCCGAGCCCTGACTTCAACTTGGAAAGGCGCAACGAAGCGTCAACTCGGATGTAAAAGTAATTTGACATTAAAATGCACAGAAAACTTCACACGGGTTGCACACACACTTCACTTCGACAAATCGCACAAATTAAAGGAAAATTTCATCTTGACGTCCCAGATTTTAAAACTTTTTTCTGTGAAGAATAATATAATCATAAATCAAATCATTCTGTGAAGAATAATCAAAAATATATAACACGTGTTTTTCATTTTTCCCAAAGATCTTTCGAGATTTTATTAATTTTCAAACTTTTCGAAAAACTACTAGATTTGTCAAAGTAAATCATTTTTAACTTGTGTTGTAACAGTGACGGAAAGTAAATGTTTTGGGATGTTTAAAAACAAAAGATTTTCTTTCATTTGATGCATTTTCATTGATTTTCACTTTGATTTGATGATTGATTTTGACCTATTATCTTTCCTCCTAAAACTCAACCATTTAAACATTTGAAAAAAACTATTCTACAAACATGTTACTGTGAATAAAAATGTTCAGTTTTATGTGGTCATTTTATCCCAATTCTGAAACATGGCATCTCATTGAAGAAATTGTAAACCTAAATTGCACTCTAAAAAAGCATTATTCCATTTCCAGGTTTACCAATTTTTTCCCAAACTATAGTATGAATTGGAACTTTTCTTGGTGTATTGCAAAATCTTTTTTGTATTTTTCAAAGACATCTGATACGACAGAAAAAAAATTGAAAAGTAGAGTACATTCATAAGCAGCATCTTGAAACGTATTCTATCTAGTCAGTGTGAAAACTATTCTCAATTTAATAAAGTGGTATTATGATAACACAAAATCACAAACTAGTAGTATGAACAAACTTACATGATTTTTTCGATACTTCTTCTCACTTTCATACGGACATGGAAATTTAGAAACAGTTCTACATGAATTCTGAAGGATTTTAAAATCCACAATACATTTTTAAAGGATACTATCTTGCCAGAAGTTCCTGTTTTTCTTCAGGAGTCATAACAACATGTTCAGGAACTAACTCATGCTCTGTGATATTAATCAACAACTCAGATTCCAAGAATTGTTCAAGTATATATTTAGGAGCCATGTCAACAAGAGACTAGAATAATGAAAATTGAGTTAATTCATAGATATAAATGACAATATGAAAAAACAGTAGATAAAAGAACCAACCTGCTTAGCTGATGGGGTCATTCCCTGCTGTACAACAATAATGGCACGATGAATATTCTCCTCTTGCATTCTTTGACAGTATGTTTTAATTGTCTTAATACCAATTTTGGGCTCATCAGGGAAGAATACAAACATCTGATCTAAATACAAAATCAATTTTTTAATAAAATTACATTCAATGTTGCTGTTAGACAAAAATCAGAAAATTAAAGCAACAATTGTTAAGTAAATGTCACCAATTTATAAAACTTGAGGGGAAATGGTTGATTTAAATTATTCTTTCTACTCTCTTCCTCATTCAATTTTGAAGTTTATATAAAAAATCATTTAATATATATCAAAGTTTAAAAATTTAGGCAGGAGTCCTACCTGCAGTAATACAAACTTACTTACATATAGAACATTCATTCTGTGACCAGAAATAGTATTTTTTGTTAAGTGGCAGAATATACATGATACTTATATGTAGAACTGGGAAGTTTATAAAAGCTTTTAGCTCTAAAATATGCATGTACAGAAATCAAGATATGCAGCATTTGGTCACGAAAATGTATTTTACAATGACATTACATTATTTGCCAAACAGAGAAACAGAGAATAAGCAAGGGAAGGAGGGTGGGAGAGGTTTTTCTGTGGGGGAAGGTTTGGGAATGAGGATGTGTTGCCACTGAAGGCCAATCTTAGGTGGTGTCAAGTGATACTCCAATAACGGCAGATATTATTTCGGCGGCGTTTGCCTCCAAAACTCATTGTACTAACGTATATGAAGTAACAAGCAATCACGATTTGCAGAAGTACATTTTTTTGCACAAATTATTATTTTAGTGTTTTTAGGCAATATCTATAAAAATATGCAAAAACATTCACTTATATGCTAAAAAGCTCTTATAAAATCCATTATATGCCAAGCATTTCTTACTTTTTCAATATTTTGCCATGAAATAAACATACTGTAAGTTTCAGGAAGACGTGACCATTAACAAAAAAACATACCATTGAATGAACTTTCCAGCTCTAATATAAGTAAGACTGTTTATTTGAAGCTTATTACTAAATATTTAAAAATCATATCCAAATTTTAAATAAGGAAGGAAGAAAGAGCATTTCAGCTTGAACACAAATTTTGTTTGCTGAATGTGCCTTTCCCTTTTGGTAAAGGGTAATGAAAATATTTTTTTTTAAATATAAATGTCAAAACAAGAGAAAGTTGGCACAACTATTACATAAGTACTAAGCACAATCCATTAATATGAAATTTAAAGATTTTAAACTTTTATCTCTTTGAGGCATTAGGCAGGTTCAAATTTAGAGAGCAAGAATCACATTACTACGGTTTCAAACAGAAACATCAAGTAACAAACATAACAAATGGATTCAATAGTTCCTTGGGTACATCAAATTACAATTGTTTTACTGTAATTTTGTTTATTCAATAAACTTGAACTTTGTTGGTGTCTTGCTCTTCAATTTGCAAATGCTAACTACAGGGCTCTTGCTCTGAACAACAGAATTGGGCAACTTTATTATTATATTGACAAAAACTAACCTGTTGGGTCATCATTATGAGCAACCAAGACAATTAAATCACTTCGTGGCGGTCTCTTTTCACTGAAAAATGAATAACAAAACAATAATATTGGAATAAGTTAGAGTTCAGCTAAAATTACATAAATTAATGAAAATCTGGAAATATCATCTTAACCTTTCACATCAATAACTGAAGGTGATGCACCAAATTGTGTAACACAGGAAAGAATTGAAACCTACATTTCTAAAAAAAAAAGTAATAAAAATACCTTTTTTCAAGTAAAATTAATAAAACCTAGAATGGTATTTGATACTTTACTCAAACCACACACATCCTCCACAAGGTAAAAATGAATAACTAAATTATGAACAAATTCAGGTCAATGAATATACTAAACTACTTTGCTAACTTGCGTCCAACATATCTTGTGTAACAAAATTCATCAAACCTGAAGTTTGTTCAAAGATAATATAAAGTGAGAATAGCATCCTTCTTGAAGAAAGTTAAAAAAGCATGACATTCAAGGTATGTGAGGATTACTGAATAGATAGGAATTAGGAGAAAAGTTTATTCTTTACCTGGGTTTGTCTCCAAATTGTTCTTTAAACTGTTCCAGTGTTTGATCCAATTCATCCTGAGTTACAAGATAACCTCTATCGTGGCAAAGCTACAACAAAGGATCCACATCTATTTAAAAGATTCTTCGATTCACTGAAGTCTTTGTTTGTTTTTCGTGACAAAATTGAAGAAATAAAATAGGCAATCATATTGGTTATTGAAAAAACTATTTGAATTTAAAAGATTCTTGTAGATTCAAACGACGGTCACTTGCGAATTCTAGTACACGCTTACCTGCATGACAGTTTTTCTTATTCTCCACAGTTTATATGTTTCAGCTTCATCATCCATGTTTCAGAAAAATCGTATATAATTGTAAACAAATAGAGAACAACAAATCGCGCAAAATTACGCGTGCACCCGAGGGAAGACAGTACCCAAGAATGAACACCGATCCAAAGAGTATTTATTGGTATTTATCACCGATCAACACAGTAAAACACGAGGTCGAAGCTTGGTCAGGGTGGGTCCCAGCTTGGTTCTCATAGTCAGAGCCAGTTCGAGCACAGCAAAATGCGTAAACAAATGAGAAGCGATTCAAGGAATAGAAAATGGAAATTAAAGGAATAGACAGTCGCTATCGCAGAGGCCGTGAGATTTGAATCTGAGCGCGACCGTTAGGAGCGCGGCAAGTGTATGAGAGTGTATCATCGGAATTGTGGGGGTAATGTGACTTGCCTGTTATTTTAAAATGTGTATTTTTGTTTAAAAATACTGTGAACGCGTTGACGACGTGAAAATGGATGACGCTTCGTTTGCCAGTGGTACTACTTTCGATGAAACTGTTCAAACGTTCAGGTGAGGTACTATGAATTGCACTTAAAGGTTATGTTTATTTTTATTATACGATTACTTCGTGCAGATCACTCTATTATATCTGCATTGTCTGCAGTTGGAGACCAAATTAATTTGGGTTTAATAATAATTAAGTTTCCTGACGAAAAATGGTCGAAAAATCTCATACATACATTATTTAGTTAGTCGATAATAATTGGCTGAAAAGCAGACTTATATAAAACGCTATTTTAAAAGTACAATTTCGTTGTTTGACATGAACGTACATATTGTTTTTATGTAATGTATTTGCAATTCTCTTCAGATTTGGTTGCTCTAATATACATTTTCAGCTTTGTGTGAATGGGAATATTTGAATTATTTAAAAAATTTGATTTAGGAAGTTGGATTGATCAAGTCCTTATATTATGAAGCAATGTTGATTTTCAATGTAATTAGAAAATACTGAACAAGTGACAACAGTGATACCTACCTTTCTAGATTTTTTAATTTTCATTGGGCCAGTCTTAAATTTTTCCAATGCAATAACATACTAACTATAGATTTAGTTAAGGGAGGCATTTGTACTGCTTGAATTAACCTTTGAATTCTATACATGTCTTATTTTTAAAATTATTGGTGATGTGTAAACAAAAAAGTTCAACAAGTGTGGATGTTCAAGCTTTGTAGAATAATGTTTGGATGATGTGAGGTTTGCATATAAACTCAATTCTCAATTTAACTGTAATTAATTTAAAACAGAGTTTGTTTTTTGTTTTAAAAGTTATTCCTTGAGCTTCACTGTCAAAAGAAGGTACCCAATTGTAAACAAGCATTGTTGACAACTTTCTTTTTCAATTTTTATCTTCTTTCATGGTACATTAATTGCTTAGGGTGCCATGGGATAGTTGTGGCCAATACAATCTTAACTGTGAGTGCCTTGACAACATGGCAGACACTCGTATTTGCAATAGTTGCCAAAATTCCTAATAATTATGTAGCAACTTGTGTATCTACTACCGTTCTTTCAGCCATTTTTTGTAAAACTCATTTCACTACTCTGCTGCAATGACACTATTCCCTAACATCAAAAACACTCACCATAAAAGGAAATGTGTTGCTTAATCTGTGACAACATTGTTTTGTCAAAGCCAAGGCTATTAGTGGAAGTTTGTGGTACTTAACTCGTGCAGAAGGTTGCTCTGATGTTCCATGTAATAAAAATCACATTCTCAAAATAATCTCCAACGATTGTAGGTCAAACCCTGATTTTTTTACAATGTTTCTTTCTTACAATAAAAGTAGTCACATGATAATAAGTTGATGTGTAGCGAGTTATGAGTATGAATTAATGTGTTTTGTAAATCTGTCAGCCTTCATGTAGCTCATTGCATATTTTGTAAATGTACATTTGTGCTGGATATATGGCATAATATTCTGAGGAAGCTCATCCTGTAGTTTTAAGACCTTTAGATTGCAGAAAAAATTATTCAAATAATAAAAAAATGCCATCCATGTGATTCCTCCATGTCTCTCTTCATTGAGCTTGAAATCTTACCAGTGCCTTCCCTATTTATTAATGAATCTGTAATTTTTGTCAAAACTACCTTACTTAATGGTGGGGACGTATTTTCATACAATGCTGATATTTATAATTATAACACACAATCGAAATTACATTGATCAGAAGTCAGTATCAACAGCTCACTAAAAGAAATCCACATATTCTGTACATATATAGATTACTTTACAATACATTGTCAGATGACAATTTCGGAGATCCATTGAGCGTAAAATAAATAATATAAATAATAAATGTCTTTTGGTGGCGAGGCTCGGGCCATTTAGCCTGCTCGTCCTCCTAACTTTTTTGCATTGTTGGAGCACTTTCATTTGTATCTTCCTTATCACACTCGTTTCAATCTATTGTGAATGACGTTTACTTGATGTTCTAAGGAGATGGAATTTCGCTTGTTTTTATCTCGCAGAGCTGTCAGTCTGTGACAGCCATGTCGACACCCCCGAATAAAAACTATTGCTAAATAATTGCCGTGTATTTTCGATTGAGAAAACTTATGTGAACTTTGATGCGACACCAACCCACACAAGTTTGTCGATCGACGGAAAGACGAATTTATTTCTAATCTCCATCTTAATTGCCACGTATGTTTATTTAAAAAAACTGGTGTGAGCTGATTTGACCCGACGTCAGCGTACACACGACAGTTCCAAATGTTGCTTTATTTGTTCTACGTGTGAAGTTGGTCTATGACCTAATGGAAATAGTAATTCTGAAAAGCTAGAAAACCCAGAATAGCGGAAACTCCCTAAAAATGTAATAGGAGAGCCACAAATATTTTTCGCAAAAAATTACAATCAAAAACATAATTTTTAACTCCTAGCCTTAACTTTCAGCATTTGTGGTAGTCAGTGTTGTAAAGAGCATCCGTAAAATCTAATAGAACATCTAAAAAAAATAATTTAGTAGATTTTGCCATAAAATATCACGTGTCCTTCGCAAGGACACAAACGTAATTTTAAGGCTTTTAACCGCATTGTTTCAGAGTTACCCACGATGGTGAACTGAGTTGTATCCAATTGTGAATTGCGAGTTGCACGTGCGTGTGGAGTCACGAGTTTAGCTCCTGTAATTTTTGAACGGTTGAAGTTATTGCAATGCCTTTTCACGGGAATTGCATGAAAGAATTAGGTTAATTGATGAGGATATTCGTTTCCATTTTATCCCTTGCACGAGGTGGAGTCAAAAAGTTTCGGCAATTTGTCAAAATATTATTTACCAATGGGACAGTAAATTAAATTCATTTACCTTCAAAATACTCACTCCTGCTTTCAAAAGACTTTCCCGAACGTTCGTATATTTTTTTGGAAACAGTCCTGAAAGCCATTTTTCGATTGCTCCGTAAGCTGCCTGGTCGCATTTGCCAACATCTCTTCAGAATTAGCGAATCGTGCCCTTTCATTTTTATCCGGGGAAACATGTAGAAATCAGCCAGTGCGGGTTTGGGTGAGTAGGGAGGATATTCAATACTTAGTGATGTAATTTTTTCATCAGTAATGACCTGCTGATGGGGCTGGGGCATTGTCATGGAGAATGTTCCAAACCTTTCCTTCTCATTTTTCTGGACGTTTCTACCCGATTGCAACTCGTAGGCAGCGAAGAATTTCCAGAATACTGCGTTTTTCGCAACTCTGCCTCTGGCAGGTATCAGCTGGTGACAGTTTCATCCAATCGGGAGCTTAAACGTCACTAATGGTGACCTTCAAGCACCCATTTAGATGAAATTGTCAACAGCTGATGTCTGCCAGGGGCAGAATTGCATAAATAGCAGTATAGAAGTTCTTTGTTGATCATCTGGAATGGACATTTCGTCAATGGTCATTCTTCTATTCGCATGGATGATGGATCATGCTCGATGTGTGACGGAAGTGGATGGGCAGCCGCTGCGCGGGTTATCTTCAGCAGTAGGGCGACCGCCACGGCAACGCTTATGTCTCGTCCACTTGCGACTTTTTAATCCCATCTCTTCCAAAGGCTATCGTCTCAACACCTTCGATGTTTCAGAAGGTAATTTCTTTAGCAGAACACAAACGTTTGTCTCAGTTACATGCGCGGCGCAGCTCACTGACAAGTCGACACACTCTCACA